TTCTAGGGTTTTTACTGGGGATATTTTCGGTGATCACGCGGTATCGTGTGCTGGTATTGTGGGTATTAAACATCGGCATAATGTTGTCTGGGATACCCTTGTTGATATTTGCTACAAGTTTGGGATTTTGGCAAGGAAGGAGGCGGACATAGGGTTGTCTGGAGGAAATGATGGGTCCCTTAGACCTGCTGATGTGTTACTTTATTTCTGGGATCGTGGTCGTGATGTATGTGTGGACTTAATAGGGTCTTCTCCTTTGACACAAACATCGCTATCTGACTTTGTTCCTGGATGGGTTATGGTTGATGCGGCTCATCGAACGCGGATGAAATATGAAGCTAGTTGTCGGCTGATTGGATATGGTTTCATTCCCTTCTCCTTTTCTTCGCTTGGGGAATTAGAGAAGGAGGCTGTTGCGTTGTTGAAGCGGGTTCAGATGTTCTCGGCGACGCAAGACATTGGGGCTCGTGCTGCAGCTCATATCTTCACTAGAGTAGGCTTTGCAATAGCTAGAGGAGTGGGGGCCTAGATTATATCTCGGCTTCCCACTAATTTATTGTAGGTTGTATGACTCTGTCTGTTTTTGAGATATAATAATAATAATAATAATAATAATAATAATAATTATAATAATAATAATAATAATAATAACAACAACAACAACAACAACAACAACAACAACAACAACAACAACAACAAGTCAACAACAACAACAACATCAACACCACCAACAACAACAACAACAATAACAACAACAACAACAATAATAATAATGATGGTGAAATCTATTCTGCTCTTCTTTGCTGAAATCTGCTATACTCTATCCAGAAACTCGAAAGAACATGGCCTAATTGTCTTATTCTGAAGTGGCCACGGCATGTGGCTAGCCATATTGAAGAATATGTGTTCTAATTTTTATACCAAAGGAGTGTACCACGTTATTATTGCTACGAAATTTGTGTAGTTTCATACTTTTATTATACATTCGATATTATAGGTTGTTATAAATGAGAGCTAGTTACATTTCAGTGCAACATGGTGAGCTAGAGTATTACCAGCATGCTTAACATGAGAAACAGAAAAGCCAACAAAATATTGAGAGAGAGAACAAATATCATCTGTAATCAAACACAACGGAGTAAAACCCCCTGCTTTCCTCTTGATCCCTTGGACGATGTTCAAAGCGTCACTCTCCAACTGCACATTAGAATACCCGAGTCTGATTGCCAACTGTAGGCCAAATCTGCACGCTGCAGCCTCGGCAATATCTGGCAGCCATCCAGCTTGCTCTTGAAGCACAGCAACAGCCATAATCTTACCTCCATCATCACGCAACACCACCCCAATTCCAGTCACACTCCCAAATTCCCAATATAAGGATCGTAATTAATTTTAATCACACCAACACTCGGATGCTGCCACGAACTCACAGAGGGGATGCTTTGTATATTTTGAGCCATAAATACTCGAGCTGCATATTCACCATACTCACAACTTTTGACACATTGGAATCCACATTAACTGCACACACACTATCATGATCAAAGATAGCCTTGTTTCGACACCACCACGCTGCCCACATTAGAGCGACAATTGATCTCAGCTCCTCACACGGACTTTCGACGCTACCACACCAAACGAATCCCTAAACACAAGAATGGAGCCTGCGCTATAAGAGTAGTATAACTACTTGCTGCCCATATCTCCAAAGCTGCCTTACAGTCAAAGGTAGCGTGGATTATAGACTCCTCCCCATTCCCACAAATCGAACAAGTTTTATCCTCAATCATATGTCGAAAGTGCAGTCTTTCACGCACCGCAAGAAACCCCTTACTCACTCTCCAAAGGAAATGGTTAACCTTGGGAGGTCCTTTCATGTTCCATATGATCTTCCATACTTCACCAGTCGGTTGCGCCATTGATGGGCCTTGCTTCCCAGGCCAATAGGTTGATTGAACATTGAATTCTCCATTTTTAGAAGGCCACTAGTGCATAACATATCTTTGAGAGCGAAAGGATAAGGGAATTAGAGAAATAGAGGCCTGATCTGTTGCACAAAAATTCTCTTGAATCACATCCACTTGCCACAATCGGCTAACATGATCAATTAAGTCCGACACTTTCAACTCCATATTACTATGAGGCAACGGAGTGGACGTTTTCCCAAAGTAAGCTTAAGTAGCAAAATATATACGTAAATGGTTGCGTGGCAAAAGTATTTACCAAACTAAGCTTTCAGGGTAAAACGCTGTCTCGGACAGCGTTTTATGCCCTAGTTTTTTTTATAAAAAATTCAACTTAAAAACGCTGTCTCAGACAGCGTTTTACATGTTGACTTTTGTTTTTTAAATTTCGTAATTTTTGATATTAAAAAAAATGTTACACTAAAACGCTGCCTGAGGCAGCGGTTTTAGTGTATAATTTTTTATTTATTTATTTATTTTTTATTTCTAGTTTAAAAATAAAAAAAGAAAAAAAAAATATTAAAGCTGTTGTGTTCTTGAGCTGCCCCATTTTCCTAGCTTAATTAACCTTTTTTCTTCTTTGTTCTACACGTAATGTTCATGCACTATAGATTAGTGTCTCCTTCTAGGATTTTTTATTTTTGGTTTTTACCAATTATTTGACCCTCTTCCTATTTTCACTCCTTTAATCAAAGTTTCTACTGTTCTTTTCTCCTTCACTTTCACTATACTCCTACCTTTAACCTTTTATGTCCTCTGTTGTGGCTTTACTTGAGCAACACACCTTCGTTTTGGATGGTATGTAGAATTTGCTCATGAATTGATTTTGTTAAACACAAAACAATGACAGCAATCAAAGCATATGTATTTTCAGTATATTACAATCATGTGAATATGGACTTAAATACAAAGAGGAGAAGAAGATAGGAAGCAACAATCGTATCCCAACCCCAACCGCAATACTCGAATACGATATGATAAATATCACATATTGATAATTATCCACCCAAATAATACAATCATTATCACATATTGATAATTATCCACCCCAAAGAATACAATCATTATCATAATAACGCAATGGTGTATAATATTTTTTTTTTTCTTTTTTTGTTTTTAAACTAGAAATTAAAAAAAAAATAAAAATAAAAAATTATACACTAAAACCGCTGCCTCAGGCAGCGTTTTAGTGTAATTTTTTTTTTTTATATCAAAAATTACGAAATTTAAAAAAACAAAAGTCAACATGTAAAACGCTGTCTGAGACAGCGTTTTTAAGTTGAATTTTTTATAAAAAAAAACCAGGGCATAAAACGCTGTACGAGACAGCGTTTTACCCTGGAAGCTTAGTTTGGTAAATACTTTTGCCACGCAACCATTTACGTATATATTTTGCTACTTAAGCTTACTTTGGGAAAACGTCCCAACAGAGTAGGCACACAAACGGAGAGTTACGTGGAAGCCAAGCACTGTCCCACACTGAAATATCACACCCATTACCCACCCTCCACTTCAAACCATCAAGAAGAAGCGATTTGGCACCCCACATACTTCTCCAAGTGTAGCTCGGGTCATACCCCCGGTTTGCTTCTAACACGTCACAATTCCTTAAATATTTAGCTTTTAAGATAGAGTGTAGAAGAGTACCGTGATTGTGGTGGAGTCTCTATCATTGTTTCACCAACAATGCTTGGTTAAAAACACGCAAATCTCGAAACCCCATTCCACCATGACTTTTTGGCTTGCACAAATCCTCCCACTTTTGTCAATGTAACTTCTTATCCTCTTGTTCTTTTTTAATACAACAAATTAAAGAAATCTATTTTATATATAAAAATAAAAACTTAAAAAATCAAGAAACCTACTTTATGTTTCTTACTACCGACTTAATTAACTTCCCTATGTTCCGGACTTACATGTATATATTAAGATATATTTAGGGAATATTAAGATAATATTTAGAGTTGGATAATATAATTAGTTTAGGATATATTTTGACATCTTAATCTTGTTTCCTTGAGTTTGATATAGGGAAGGAAACTTGATTGCTTTGTATTATAAAATGTCGTCTAGTATGCTAATGAGAATCAAGCCAAAGTTTGTCACAATTCTACAAACTAATTTCCACAACTCTTTGGTTATAAATATTTCATCAATCCATTTATTATTACTTTGTTTCTTCGTCAAAATTATCCCTTCACTTTTATCCAAAAAATTTATCAAAAATATTCGTTCGTGTGTTCTGTGTACTGTTCTGTTGTTCCAAATTACTACTCGATTAGTAATGGCGGCTTCGAGTTCACAAGCAAACAATTGTACAATTATGGAGAGAGATCCGACAAGGCGATTTACAAAGTATGAGTTATTCATGGGAGAAGGATCGTCAAAAAAGAGTTTACAAGGGGTTCGATATGGCATTATGGTATTGAAAAGAAGCTGAACTATTGAAGTCGTTAGACCACGAAAACATAATGAAATGCTACCATTATTGGATTGATGATCAATTTAATAATGGTAGCATTTCGTTACGTTTTCGTGGTCTAACGACTTCTATACTTTAGCTTCTGCACATAATTCCTCAAGATTTTCACTAGATTTCGTTAATGTTTGTTCAATTATAAAAATTGTGCATTGTATAGGAATTTCCAATTCGACTATCTTATTTAGGCATTGTACAATATTATCAGTTTGTTCAATTCAAATAAGTAGCAATGATTTATATCATTTTTTATTTTTTGACAGGGAATTATATTAATTAATCAAAGGCAATAATCTTGTTTATAAATTTGCGTAGTACTACAATCAATATCACAGCTAACTAACTCAACAACAATGTTCTTTTATTCAAATCAAACTAACACTTAAATCAAATTACAAACGAGAAAGCTGAATCAAACCCCCATCCTCCTACACACACACCATGTACTAAATCATACACTTTATTATTCAAACATTAACTACTATCACTACTTCGTAACACACCTTGAATTAAAGACATTGCACTAAAGAAAATCCAAGAAAAGTCTTAATTTCATACTAAAGAATTGAATAGAATAGAATCGAGCCTATGGTCTGCTCTTGCGAGTTAATGACAGCTTTTGGATTTGGCATGTTGTCTTGGCTTCGCTCACCGCCCTCATCAGTAGTTGCAAGAGACGGGTGCCTCAAGAGTTCACTTGCCTCGGGTCTCTCAGACGCAGGCTTAATGCACCTTTCAATGAATTGCCTCAGTTGAAGGTCATACACTAGTTTCATTGCATCAGGCCAAGTACCGGACTGAACTGCTTCAACAATCTTAGCCAAAGTCTCGCATTCGCTGTATATCTTCTCGTAAGTCATCATCTGTAGTACAGTCATTCCAAAAGAGTATATGTCAGCCAAATGATTATACTCATAGCTCAAAACCTCTGGTGCCCTGCACCCTGGTCTACCACCATAAGTGCTGTAAACATTACTCGGTTCTTTATACACCGCGAAACCAAAATCTGCTAGCTTAACCGTGCCTGAATTCCCATTAACAACGATATTATCAACGTTAACATCAAGGTGTATAATGTTCTGACTGTGTATGTAATGTAACGCGCTTAGAATCTGTCGACACCAAGACTTAATTGCAGCAGGACAACGAAAAAGATCATGTTTATGAATATACTCCCTCAGATTACCAGAAGAACAAAGATCAGTAATAATATTAATGGTATTTATACCATCATACCAGTAAGTGTAACATTTGACTATATTCGGATGGTTTAACGACTTCATCATTTCGGCTTCTTCACAACACTTGTTTACCCCATGTTTACCAATTTGTCCGACCTCCATTTTACTCCAAGCGATTTTATGACCATTGTAAGTGTCTAACCCTTCGTATACTTTCTTCAAGGTTCCGATTCCGACCATTTTATTGAACCTTATGAATTGCCTTGTTGGATCTTTCTCCAATTCGTCAGGGTTGTTAGCGATTTCCTCAATTTCATTGTCGTTTCGAGAACTTGAAGCCATTATTGATCAACAAAGAAACAGAGAAAAAACAGAGATTTTTTAAGATTTGTGTTTGTGTTGATGGTAGTTGTTTTGTAGATTGCTCTTAAGATGAAGTGAAAAATCAAATAGTTGGGATTGGGAAATTGTTGATAAATGATGTATGAACAGTAGATTGATGTTTATAGAAGTAATTATAGGTTGTTAGTTGTAATCCAAGAAACGTATTTATATTCTTGGGTGGGTCCAGATAAACTGATTGATTTAAGTTAGTTGCTTGACCGTTATTTAAGTCGGTTATCAAGAAATAGAAATACCCTTTTCTTGATTTTTATGTTAGATGAATTCTTTAATTAATTTATTGAACTTTTAATTATGGGGAATAATTTTTTAAGCTTTTATAATTGACTAGATTTTCATCTTTATCTATACTGATATTTGCAACTTAAAGTGGTTAAGCAACTTAAGCTTTACGAGAAATCGGGTATGATATATTATTTGTGTTACTAAATATCAATTGTTATTGCTAACATTATAAACACAAGCTACAAGCTCAAAAGAGCACGCAATACGTGCACGTATTTTAAGGTGGTAAATTCATATAATTTACATTTTTTGGAGTCTAATTCATAATTTAATATATACCAGTTATATTATCTGTAAAAAAGTATAAATATTGAAATTAAGCCGAACCCCTCAAGTCAATGAAATAAGGGGATGCAATGTAAAATAGTAGGTAACGGGGTAAATTAGTAAATGAGTTTTTGCTAAAAAAAGAATATGTGTAGAGAACTTTTTTTTTTTTGCAATAACACATAGAGAATTTCTAAGAACAGAGTAAAACAAAAAGTTTCAAAAAAAAAAAAAAAACAATGGAGGCCATGTAATATTGTAAAAGGAAAATTGAAATAGCAGTAGTATATAATACTCAAATAGTTATTAGAATATTAGGAAGTAAAATTTAAACTCAGTATTAAAATTATAGAAATGCTGTCATTAAGGGTAAAAGGAGCAGGCTGTCATTCATCCTAATTCTCTATGCAAGATGATTTACAGGGATGTGCTAGACAGGATTCAGCAACTTATCAGTAACAAATGGAAGAGAAGTCAATGTAGATGGCTGTATAGGTTGAAAGCTAGTGTAATTTGCTGTTTTTTGTAGCTGTTTTGGTTTTGTAGCCTGTGTTGCTTGCTTGTTTTTGGTTCTCATTGGAGGTTGTGTGGCCTTTGGCTGTGTAGTATGGAGTTTTGAGGCTTTGTCCTCTTCTTTTGGTAATAAAATTGCTTACTTACCAAAAAAAAAAGAGTATAATTAATCCTAAAAAAAGGAGTTAAAGTGTAATTATTGAGCTTAATATAACACCATTTTTTTTGTGAGCCGCTAAACGTCGCCCTCGAATCTTTAACTAACGCCCGTAAAATAACCTAAAATGACGTACGTAGCTTTGCTATAAAAATATTATAAAATAATTCTTTTTACCTAAACGTAACACTTTTACCCTATATTAAATTTTTTACCGTTCTCTCTAGTGTTCACCGCCACCAACGATCACGTTGAACCACCAACTACTGTAATTTTTAAAATCAAACAAATAATTTAAATTTTACAAAACCTAATTCGTTGGATCCCATGGAAGACAACGAAAGGCAGTAAACACCACCTACGTTGGTCGCCAGAGGCTCGTCGGACCGTACGGAATCGGTACGATTATTCAATTTTTTTGTTTTCGAAATTCCGATTATTTAATTTTTTGTTTTTGAAATTTTCAGGCAAACGCCCAGAAATTTCGAAAAACTTAGTCAGAAACGCCTAATTTTTTCGAACAACCCCAGGGTATTCGAAAAAACTAGGCGTTTCTGCCTAGATTTTTTGAAATTTCTGGGAGTTTGCCTGGAAATTTCGAATTTATAATCTATCAATTTTGAAATTTAATACTTAAAAAAAAGACGTTAACGACCGGTTGAGATGAAACGCTTAGAAAACACGAACAACCACAACAATAAATAAAAAATAAAAAAATCGAAACCCAGGCAAACGCCTAGGATTTTTGAAAACCCTAGGCTGAAACACCTAGTTTTTTCAAAACTTCCTAGGATGTTCGAAAAAACTAGGCGTTTCAGCCTAGGGTTTTCGAAAATCCTAGGCGTTTGCCTGGGTTTCGAATTTTAAATTTTTTTTATCAGCACACATCGAGTCCATACGGTCCGACGAGCCTTCGGCGAGCAGCATAGGTTGTGTTTCCGGTATTTCGTCGTCGTCCATAAGATCCAATAAATTTGATTTGCAAAATTTAAAAATTTTGTTTGCTTTTGAAAATCACGGTGGTTGGTCCAATGATCGTTGGTGGCTGTTGACCACTAGAGAGAACGATTAAAATTTCTCTGTACGGTAAAAGTGTGAAATTGAGGTAAAATAAATTATTTTAATAATCGTTATTATAAGGATAAGTACGTAATTTTATGTTATTTTGCGGGCGTTAGTTAGATATTCGAGGGCGATATTTAACAACCCCTTTTTTTTTGGTGAACTAATATAACACCATTTTGAGTAACAATTTTTATTTATCTACAAAAGTTTAATCATAGTACAACTTATTTAAAAAAAAAAAAACAAAAAGATACAGTACAAAACAAATTCAATAACTTAATCTTGTCAATTAACGTTAAGTTTTGATCAAGATATACTCCTTGCTTTTTTTGATAAAAGATATACTCCATTGTCATAATATAATCGTAATAAATACTTTGTAGTTAGTAGTTATTTTATGCAAAACATAAAAGTCACTGCATAATCCCAAGATAGATACTAATTCCTTCAGTAATCAATAATGTGTTAATCAGTTAGCAATTCACACCGACCAATCAATATTAGACATGATTAGTAGCATCACTAAAATAAACATTTAAAATGATCTCATCACAAAACTACAATAGAATAGATGTATAGCCATAATAAAATGGAAATTCATATAATTAAAAGACTGTTGTTTATATGTACTGTATGTGCATGTAAATCCACCGACAAATATCAATGAGCGAATTGATGCCATTAGTGATCATATAATTTTAATTTTTTTCTGAAAAGAACAAATTATATATTATTGAAATTATATGTACTCATAATCAAATTAAGAAAAACACTAATAATTAAGCATACCCCATATTAAAGAATGATTGAAAACATAAACCACCCACAATCAAATGCAACAAATTTATCGAAGTTATGTTTTGGTAAAAACTAAAAAAATCATTACATGTAATGATTCAATAAAATAAGAGAAAAATATAATAATAACTAAACACCAAAATAAGTTGTTAATCATTTTTTAAAACTGTGTCTTTTTGTATCATTTTGTTTAATTCATTCCCATTTATTGTAGAAATTGTAGGTTCAAATTTCCATTGAGAAGTGTAGATATATAAAGATGGGATAAGATAAATGATGGGAAAACAAGTTTTAAAAAATTTATATAAAGACACTTATGGGTCATCTAATGCTAATTGACTTGTTTTAGAAAATTGATCAATTTCAATTATACTTATCTACAACTCAGTTTAGTACATTGTAGGTCAACTTATCATTCAAATTGGATTGGTTTTTCTAATTCTAATTTTGACAACAAGCTATGCGACACACACTCATTGTGTGTGCATTATAAGAAATTTATATGGTTCGATTTTCCCTTTTTTTCATGAAATATTATCTACCTTATTCTAATTAAAAAAATATTTCAAAAAAAAAACTAATTAAAAAAATATTAGTGGGTTTAAGAATTGCTGAAATCGTGGAGGAAATCGAAGGATATGATTTTCTAAAAAAAGGATATTACAGTAGTTTTTTTGATTTTTTTTGTTTATGAGAAAATAGGTAGCTTTTAATATTTTTAATAAAGGATGGTAGGTTTTTTTAAAAAAAAAAAAAAATTTTAATTTTTTTATTTTTTTTTATTGATGTTAGTTATTTTTGAAAAAATTGAAGGTAGGTTTTATTTTATTTTTTATAAAGGAAATAAAAAATGAGAGGGATATTTTGGGAAAGAAAAATTTATCACCCAAAACCCCCTTTCACTTTATATAATACTATAGATTAGAGTATCAATATGCCTTGAAGTTAATTACTTTTGTTAAGCCTAAGTAATTCATTAAAATGCAATTCGTATATACTAAGGCCCTATTCTATTCACCTTATTTCCACTTATTTCAGGGTTAATAATTTCAGATAAGATCAGAAAAGGGTTAATAAGTTCTGATAAGTTCAGGTAAGATAAGTTCATGAAAAATAAGTTCAGATAAGTTGTGACAAGGGTTAATCAGGGCTACCCAAGTTTAATTTATAACTAATATAAGTTCTAATGAGGGCTAATAAGTTCAGATTTGGTAGGCGTGTCGCATACCTAACAAAATACAACCTAACTAACCACTACTATGTAGACTGGCAAGCAAGGGTCGAATCCCAAGAGACTAAGGTTCAAAAATAATTAAATAGACTCAAATTCCTACTAAGTAAGAATCAATAATGATCGATTAACTAAGGAACTAATGTATGGAAAATTCAAAAATAAATTAAATAATATGAAGAAATCAAGTAATTAAAACATCCAAGATCTAGTATCGCCAACATTACGCTTGATGCAATTATATTTCTACCCCTAACATACGATTCCAATTGAACGGAGAAAAGTAAACCCTAATCAATACCAAGGACCTCTCTCGAGTATCAATGGCTTCCCTGACATACAATCAAGCCTATTCTCATGGTATCATGCCTGGTGCTGGGCACGAACGTGCCTCTTGACGAGTGTAATTCTGCAGTCTTGGGCACGGACGTGCCCCTGCTAGGCACGGACAAGCCTAATGTCGAAGCAATTTGATGAGTATACTGACTTGGAGGCACGGACGTGCCTCCCCTGCTGTACGTATCACTCATCTTAAATCAGTCATAACTTCATATCCGGAGCTCTGTTTGAGGCGTGTAATATATTGTTGGAAAGGTCTTCAAGTCTACTTTCCAATGAAATTTG